TGTCCCTCTAAAATCTTTCAGAAAATCGCAAAGGTGTATTGAATTGTATCGTTTGCTGAATATCACAATATATATCATATCATGAGCAGAATATCGCGTATCGTATTGTGAGATTATTGTATCACTACAGCCCTAGTCAAGATGCCATGCAACTGTTAAAGTGTATGATGATCTGATTATTTAATCATGTACATTGATATTTTTTAATTAACAAATAAAACACAAGAACGAAAGAGCACACAGAGCATGCACATCGCTCTTTGGTTGTTTTTGTTCAAGGTGGCAGCTGTAATGGTAGTCTGCCATGGTGTCAGACTACCTGGCTTCATGTAGCGGGAGAGAAGGTGAGAACAGTCACGGTGAGTGCCATGTGGTTGGTTACTTCTTGCTTGTTGCTCCTTGGTCAGTGTTCATAGTTGAGTGTCAGGACATTGCCTCAATTGCTATGTTTAATGGTGCAGACAGTGGTGGTTTCTGACATGAGCAACGTGGACCAATACCCCAGGCGCTATCTTTTTTAGGAATGGCACGAGACTGCAGCAGATCATGGCACAGAGATGGAAGCAAAGCAGAACAAAGAGTTTGTTCTGCTTTTAATATTGATTAATTTTATTAAGTATTTAATATCTAGGTGTTTTTATGGGAATATGCATCTTTCCGATCAATTTGAGAAGTAATTTTGATCATATTTCACATTTTATCGTGTCATGTAGCGCGGGGCGCTGGTCTTGGTCTTGACTTGGTCTCGACTTCCCTCGGTCTTGGTCTTGACTTGGTCTCGGGTTAGGTGGTCTTGACCACAACTCTGCAAGTAGCCCACCAACGAGGCGTCTGTGTCACTCCGGAGGCAAACGGCTCATCTGCACGTTGTTTTCGCCGCGCTCCTCACTCGTGAGTCAAACAGTGTGAGCAGCTCTCACTTTTCCATCAGTGAAGTCGGGAGATTCCAGTGAACTCTAAACCTGTGAGCCGTTCTCTGGGCCTCTGCAGCACAGTAACACGCTCTGGTCCCTCCGTGGTCACACTCCTGTCCTCCAGGGCCGGCATCCTGCAACCTTCACATGGGTCCTTTGTCCTATAATGTGGAATTAAATGTCTAAACTGCCTCACTAGCATGGAGTCACGCTCTATGGAGCGCTGATAATGAGCTGGTATTGAAGCCAGGTGTGCTGAGGCACAGAGAGACTCTAACTGTTGCAGGAGACCGTCCCTGTCAGGACTCTAGGTTGAGAGAGCTGGACTACGTTATGTCCGCTACATAAATCCTACGTATGCTGTTTGTTCTACTGTGTGGTGCTGTTCCCTTGGTTTCAATAGTTTGATATTATTAGGGAAGAAACGATTAATCAGATGAACTGCGATGAATCCATTTTTTAAACAAAAAAAAGGGAAGGGAGTCTGCACTTGATTGATTCATTTGTTTAGGTTTTTATTCATATTATTTTGTATTTTCTGCCTATTTTGTGTTTTTATTAGTTTTTGCCAAAATTAATCTGATCTTTTGTTATATCATTTATTTGCTTGTTTCATAATTGGGTACTGTATTATGTTTATATGGTGTAAAGCACTTTGAACTGACTCGTTGATAAAACGTTCTATGCTAATAAACTTGACTTGCTAAATGTCCTGACAGCTCACACACATCCTGTATGAAGAAACGTAACATCCTCCATCCACCCTGCATCTTGGAATGGAACAAGCCCAAAAGAATCGCGATGAAACGTCATTGGTTGAAGCTCTGGGTGTTTTTGGTCAGAAAGCTTGTTTTGCTCCTCAATGGGGGTTGACCCACAACCACAGCTTTAGCTCGTCAACAAAGAGGGCACAGCATTCTGACTCGTTTCATTCTTCCTGTTCTTTCAAATAGTTTGTGTTTCTAATGTCAGACTCGTCTTTCTATTTCCCTCCTGCAGAGAGCGTGAACACAAGAGGTGATTAATCGCGTTCGGTTTGCCCGCAGGAGCATTAAGATGCGAACCGAGGTAGAAGGAGCGCGATCTGTTGAATGCTCTGTTGTACTTTTTGTTGCAGCTCAGATACTCCCCCTCTTCTCCCTGTATGTTTCTGTTGCTTTAAGATCTGAAGACAGAGTGAATCACCCGCCACCTTATTTACGGACGCCCGGGAAACGTCAGGCGCACCGAGCGAGCCGCTTTACGTGGAGCAGGTGCAGAATAACGGTCGTCGTAGATCAAGCCGGCTTTTTAGTGTCAGGCAGCGTCCCAGGTTTCCACGCCTGCAGCCGTTCTTCCTGATCTGCTGCTGCATTATCAGCTGCAGAGCTGCAGCAGGCCGCATGGATCCTGGTGCTCACAAAGGTCGTCACCTTCAGCGTCTAGGTGTGACTGAGATCAACATGATTGACATGTTTTTTTTATTCATCCTACCAAGTCTGGTTAGCCGTGATACTACGCTGTTTATTGTTGGGGTTTTATGTGATAAATCAGCACATAACAGTGAAAAGGAGGGAAACTGATGCTTGGTTTTCAATTTTTTCAACAAAAACAAAAAAAAAAATCAAAAGTGTGTGGTAGGCCTTTGTGAACACTAAAAACCCGTCAAACTAAAAACATCAAAGAGTCTAAATTTTAAAAAAATAGGCCCAAAATCCAATTTTTCAAGTCCAACATATTCCAGTTAAAATGTTCACTGGATGTCCAGAACTGCTGGGCCTTTCTCCTTCTGAAGCTCTCTGTTTTTCCAAATCATGAAAACCACTTCCTGTGTGTGTCTTCAGTCATTTCCTCACAATAGGATGTCAGACGCTGGGTGGGCGGAGCTTCTCGTGAAACAGACCTGTTGTTTCTTTTCGAGCTGATGACGATAATGTTCCCTCCGCTTTTGTTTCTCAGGAATTCTCCTTCCCTCAAGTGTGGTGCAGCAACCAGCAGCCCCTGCACTGTGCCTTCCAGCTGGAGAGATACAGCCCCGCCGCCACCCAGCTCTCCTGCAAAATCAGCGTGCGACAGGTCAAAGGTCACGAGCAGATCCTGCAGGTCTACACGGCCGTGGCCGAGGTGAGGCAGTGCCGCTTCCCCGCTCTACCTTTGTGTAACCTTCCAGGAGAATGAGGTGGTGGAGGTGAGAGAAGGGAGGGGGGGCAGCTCTCCTGAGCATGCTCTGTGTGTATTAATAGAGCGACCTGGACGCTCCCGCCTTCCTCTCTCCGCAGATTTATGTGGAGCCTCCGCTGTTCTCCCCACCGTACACACAGGGTAACTGTGTGTTTTGTAACCTTTATTTGCCCAGGGAGACGTGTGTTCCTGCAAATAGCCTTCTGTGCATTCACACACGCTCGCACACACACCACCGTCAGCGGCTGAGCAGCTCCAGTGGAGCGGTGAGGAGCTGCGCCTCCTCACTCAAGAGCACCTTGACGGCGGTCGGGCTGTCGAGGCCCGTCCTCCCTCCAGGCCGCACGCCGCCGTAATAAAACGCAAACCCATACACAGGAGAAATGTTATTTACAATTACTGTTTACACTTGGATTTAATTCCTCCCCGGTGATTAGCCGAGCTCCGTAAAAGCAGCGGTTTACAGGCGCCGCGTCGAGACTTCCCGGTTCTCATTCACCTCAGTCCAAGAACCTTCACCCCGTTACAACGAGAGAGAAAAAAACACAAACGGACGTGTGTTTTTGTCCACCGCTCTTATGCAAATATTAGAAAGTTTGGTGCATGAAGATCAACAGCTGGAGGGAGTAATTATCCAGTCAGGTCCAATTAAAGCCAACTGGAAGCAGAGGACGCCTTGAGTGTGCATAATTAATAGAGCTCCAGTCATGAAAACATGGTGACTGGCTTTTAGTCCCTCGATGTGAGGAATGCAACGTAGTTTACCCACAAGAACTGCTCAACATGTCAATACCTCCCACTGCCAGCAGGGGGAGACATTTTAGTAACCAGGTGGAACCACTTTAACCACAACAAATACGTATAAAAGTTTCAGCATGTTGTGACAGAACCGGAGCCAATGTAGGTAGAAGAAAGAAACTCAGAAATGTTGAGATTCATCTCAGAAAAGTCTTCCAGAACACCGCTGTCAGCAGCGTAAGCACTGCAGCTTCATGCATATCTTTGGTTTTATTTTCTGCACACTTGATGTTTTAAAACATCTTTAATTGGAATTTTCTACTTTTCTTCTCCCCTTATGAATGTTCTGTTGAATATTTAGACATTTTAAAGTACTTCTCCAAGGCCCAGTCTGTAGGGGAAACACTGAACCCAACATCCGGATGTCTAAAGAAATAATATTTGTATTAATTCCTCTTTATTTGTAGGTTATAATCTAGTCTAAGCAACTCAAAGTTCTAAACAATGTCCAGTCATTTGCCCACTGATGGTGGTGAGCTACATTGTAGCTACAGTCTGACAGAAGCAGGGTTGCCATGCCACCAGCCCTCCGGCCACCATAAAACAAAAACAAGACAACAATCATATAAAGTGTAACATAGCTTTTATTGACACTTTGTAATGGTCAAGGTTCCAAATATGTTTCAAATCTAGTTTCTGAGACTGAGCAGAGAGCCTGTCCTGGCTCTGGGAGGGAACCTGTCCGTTCGCTGAACTTCCAGCAGCTGAGTGACGTTCCACTGTCGCCGGCGAGGCACCAACGTCTCTGACAGCGTCGCCTTCCCGCCGCCGGCCTGACTGGAGCGGCCGCTTGCTGCGACCGTAACGACTCCTCCGCCTGTCAGTATCTCCGGTGGCGCACATCAACACATCCCAGGTCCGTCGCATCCATCCACATTAATCTCACCGCAGGCCGAGTCAGGAGGACATTCCAACAAAGCAGCAACAAAGAAACAGGCCTAACACAGGATCCGCCTGGCTTCCAGCCACTTCCAGCTCATGATTTATACATTTCACAGCAAGAAAAAGTTGGGTTTTCTCGTGGAAAAGAAGAAGTCAAACTGCTTTCTAGAGTTGCTGGCAAGTCAGCAATGCAGTCTTGTTGTTCTAGTTGGAGAGTTTCCTCCTCCTCCTCTTTCTTCTTCTTCTTCCCCCTAGAGGTTACATTTAAGAAGAAAACAAAATGCTACCATCTGTTTGTCTCATGTGACCGTGTTTCTGCAAACTAGATGTTCCTGCTAAATGTTTCATAGCCATGAAGTTCTGGTTTACTTTCAACCAGCGGCTTACACCGAGAGAAAGCCGTTCATCTGGGAATTCAGCTGACTCCCACTTCCTTTACAGAGTTTTTTTTTTTTTTTTTTTTTCCACGCTGTTCATTTTAGGCTTTTAATGTTTTATTTCAACTGGTATTGTTTTTAAAGTGGAACACTTAAACAACATCCACCTCACAAGAATTTTAGAAACAACAATTGGGTCTGTAAATGCTGGGAAAGTTTAGATTAACAGCGGACCCCCAACGTCTCCCCTCAAAAAAATGACTCTCTATTTAAGAGTTCAAACATCAAATCTACTTTAATATCAACACACAGAGTGGAGCTGCCACAGCGGATGATGTCTTCAGTCTTCTGCTGTGTTAAGTAGCGTTGCACCCAGGAAGTTCAACTTTCATTTCAGTTCAGCTGCATTTCCTATTGAATATTTTAGAGAAATCCTTGAATAGGCAAATTTTCCATGAATAATTTGGAGTGAAGTTGCAAAGAAAAACCTGCAAATAGGTGAATCCTGAATCCTGAACCCTGAAAAGCTGAGGGTTCACTGCACTGAACAAAAGCCCCTTTAACATGACAACTTAATAAATGTAATATATTTACTTTTAAACTTTATTTGATTACTTGTTACTTGTAAGCAATTATATCAAGTTTTTTTTTTTTTTATGTTGGATCACCTGTTTTCATTTTTCAGAAAAATGTTTTGTATTTCCTGATTCAACAAAATATGTAGAAAATTGTCTGCAAATTGTCCGTACTATTTCAATCATTAGTTTTCTGACTCATCTCTTACTATGACCTGCTGTCCTCACAGCTCCCTGTGAGCTGCACTGTGTGGACATCAAGACAGCAGGTCAAGCCAAATTGTATGGTGTGTGGTGAAAAACACAGATTAAATGAATGAGTTGTGACTTTCTGATCTGAACTGCAATGTTTGGAAAACGATCAAAACAGCATAACGAATCCAGAATCGCATAGATAAATGTGATTTGTGGAAAATCCAATCTTAAACTGATTTTTCTACTTCAGTCTCCTATTTCAAGTTTAAACAAGCCTTTTAAAGTTCTTCAATTTAATTTGGGTAAAACTTGAGATGTACCAGTTTCAGACACCCCAGTAAATCGTACTTGGTTTCCCCCATCTTTGTTGTGCTGGTTCATGGCCGGCATGGAGGCTCTTTAAAACATTAAACATGCTGCGAAAATGATCTCAGCCCTGCTGTTCCTCTCTGAAATGCTTACAGCAGCTGCAGCCATTCATATCTGATGGTTGTCTTTTTCTTGTATGATCTCTCCGCCAGGGTGAGAAAGAGCCGGTTCCATTTTTTATGCAGACAGACTGCACAGTCACGTCCCAAACGGGGCCCAAGGCCTTCAAAATCCCACTGTCCATCCGCCAGAGGATCTGCGCCACCTTTGACACTGCCAACGCCAAGGGCAAGGACTGGCAACTCTTAGCGCAGAAACTCCACCTAGACCGGTGAGTTCTACACCGCTCCGTAACGTACCGTGTTCGGGGATCAAATGGTCAAATCAGAGCAGGTACACAGTGTACCGAACACAGGTCGTTCAACCTTTTCACACTCGACTGGCTTATCACAAACCTCTGGGTGTTTTATGGAGATTTTGTTTTATGGGGCACGTAGTCTCATGTGGTGTTTTGGCCTAAACCATTGCCTTGTATCTCGCTTATAGAAGGATAACTCCTTCTACCAGGAGTTGTCTCCTGGTAGAAGGTGAGTCTGTGCTGTCTCAGGTCTTCTTCAGTCTCCAACTGGTTTTCCTTCCAGGACTGCCTTGTCTCAACTGGCCAACTTGCCTGTCCCTCCTGAAAGGACAGCATGATGATTGATTGATTTGGTCATCAGACTTATGGTCCACATACACATCACCATGGTGATGAAGAGGTGATTTGGGTCAGCTTTAGCCTTCCTTGAGCTGGGGGAGCTCTATCAGACTTCTGATTATGAGTATAGATTTATATGTAGTGATAAAAAAATGTCCATTCTGGCCCAACCTTAGATTACTTTCCAGATAACTGTTCTCCTTAAGGTTTTCTTTCAGTACCAACACAGTCATCTCATTTGTTTTCTAGTAATTGTTCTATCACAATGTGCATTGATGGTGAGGAGAACTTGAGGTAACTGCTTGTCTTTGCTTGTTCCTGTGGCACCAAAATTTTCAGTGCCCTGAGGCACTGAAGATCTTCCTCAGAGCTCTCCTCTGCAGCTTGACCAGCTTTGAATTGAGTCCAAAGTGACCAATAGTTGCAGGCCCTCCATGTCGGCTCTAGGAAGGTGGCTGGGCAGCTGCAGTGGCACGCTGCCCCCTGGTGGACTCGTGGAAAACCAATACAATGAGGCATTGCGCCACATTGGCATGGCAACCGACTCTCTGTTCTTCCTAAGCAAGTCAAACTTTAGTTGCTTTCAAATCCTTGTGACTCGGGCTGTTAATTTATTCCTAATTATGTTCTTACTTTCTTAAAAGGTCACAGCCTTTTGTCGTGGAGTCTGTGAAAACAGATGGTTGTGTTTATGGCTTAAAGAAGGATAGAAACTAGTTTTTAAAGTCAAGCAAAGCAGCATTTAAGGATCCATATGGTTATTTTCTAGTTTTAGATTCGTGCCTAAAGTACTTAAAGTGGTGAAAGTTATCTGGATGTGCAGTTTTATTCTATTTTTAAATGAAATTCTTCTCTTTGTGTCCAGTTAGAGTTGTAAATCTGTTTTGCGTCAGGCTCTGCCACCTAAAAACACATTCTGTGCTCAGAAGCAGCAGAGGGAAATCATGCTCATAAGTTTCTATACCGCAGCAGAATTTCTGATCTTCATATATTATAGGGTTTTGAACAAGCCTGTGGCTTAAGTAGGTTTTAAAAAAAAAAAAAAAAATTGTTTGTGTGTGGCTTATTTATTTAATATTTGTAAATGTTGAAAAATTATTTTAGAGCTTTCCATGCAGCTTTACAGGAGAAACACTGAGGCATGACTAGAAAAGCAGATTTTAAAGTCTGTCTCAACTTCTGTCTCACCTCAAACTCACTTTAAAAGTTGTTATTGTAACTCTTTTCTATATATAGATATTTGTTAAAACTGTCACTATATTGTGACAGTGCCGGATGGGACAATCTGTGAAAAATAATCCACCTCATCTACCTTCTCCCAGTGCTAACTAGAAACAACCAATCAGAACCAGGAGGCGGGTCTTAGCGCTGTCAATCATGCCCATTTGCTCACCACTCCCCCATTTGTTCTCTGCTATACTACTATGCTAAGGCTAGTTAGCATGGCCACCAATGACAGAGGATACATGGGCTTCATGCGGTTGATTGACAGCGTTAAGCCCCTCCTCCTGTCTCTGATTGGTCGTTTTTGGTCGGAGCGTTGCATTTTTTCAGATGACAATAGCAGCTCAGAGAGCTTTCACAGATTATCTTTCTCATATGTCACGACATGATGACAGATTAATTTTTTTAGCAAACATTTTTTTTAGAAATGTTGCTTAAACTTTAACACAACTAAGCAATAAAGCATGATCAGTAGATGTAATTTAAACGTCTTCATGTTACATCTTGTAAAGAGTGAAATCCTCATCCCTCCACCATGTTGTGCTCCCTCACAGTAACCTGGGCTACTTCGCCAAGCAGCGGAGTCCCTCCGCTGTCATCCTGAGCCTGTGGGAAGCTCGCCACCAGGACTCTGCCGACCTTGACTCTTTGGCCAGCGCCTTGGAGGAAATTGGCAAAATCCACTCCAAAAGCTCCCCAAAGGACCTGGACGAAGCGGAGCCCGACCTCAATCACATAGAAGTGTGCGGCCTTTACGGCACGGCCAAACCTGCGGTGGTTCTGGAGGGTGAGGACTGCGCTCCTGAATACACGGGCTGAGAGAAAAGGTTGGCCGGCTCTCACTGGCAGACCGATGCACGTGTGTGTGCGTGCACGGCCGCTGACGGACATGGGGCTACCCCTGCGGCGCGTCGGGAGGTTGTCTGTGAGCGGACAGTGGCAGTGGTCAGTGCGCCGAGCGATCACAGCGGGCCGAGGTGAACCAGCTCCTGCTGTGGATCTGCCCTTGTGTTTTAACGGATCTGTGGACTGACTGTAAATCTTTGTCGGCCTTTCCTCAGTTTTTTTTTTTTTTGTTTGTTTGTTTGTTTTGTTTTTTTCAGCTCTTTGCTTTAAGTTTATGTCTTTTGAGTGTTCATTAGTTTTGACTTTTGCTTAAAATATAAAGGATTCTTCATTTCTTTCAGTTTTTTATTTTTAAACACACCCTCTCCTTTTTATCTCAACAATGAGGAATGACGTTTTGTATGTCCATCCTTTTATCTTTTATTTTTAAGCAGGATATTACTAACATCATTGTGAAAGTGAACCTTAAAAGCCAGACATTCAAAAGTGAGTCATTTTCTTATCCTTACAAAAACTGTAAAACGTCTGAAAACCCACAGTTTGCATTATCATTTCTACCAAAACAGCATTATCAGCATTAAGCAACATCAGAATTTAAACTGGAGATGGATAAAAACAATAAAAAGAACTGTGGCATAATGTGGATGAAGAGGTTTGTTCACTGTGCTGTTTGTTACAGTTTGGGAGGAAGCTGTAGAACATCACTTCCTGTCTGGGGCATCTTATCACCTAATTACCACCATAAGCTCCCACAGTGGACCTCATATCAGGCACTGACACCTTTCGACTAAACCACCCAGCAAACACACACACACACACAGTGTAGACACTTTGTGTCCCAAGAGGCCATGTGTGAATTCTATCTGACAGTGGAATTCATTAGTCACAAATGCAGTAAAGTCACAATGCATTTGTGGCTTTAATTTGTTACCCTTAGCTGTAAGGGTGCAGAAACTAAAGAGGTGTTTAGTTTCTCATTTAAAAATGGCTCTAAAGTATAAAAACGCCAAATCGAGATGACAGAAAGAAGGATGTATTTGACTGAATCCTGGTACTACTAATGTTATTGCTTTTACACTCTAATCCAGATGACACCCATACGCTTTTCTGTTGTTTGGTCAAGGGCTAAAACAGAAAACTAGTTGTTCAAAATAACATCAAATTCACTCCACACCACAGTAGTGTGAGAATGACTGGTAGTTAGCAAGAGCAGGAGCTTGAAGACTCATCGGCTTATCTGTAGAAAGGTTCTCAGATTCCTGGTAATTTACTTCAGCAGTGGAAAATGGTGAACATAATGACAAATTGAAAAGGGTAACACATGGTGTCTGATGAACATCAGGTGTTTGTGAAGATCAACCAGACAAACTAAACACCACTAAGCCCTTTGACATGTACTAATAGATTCAAACAGTGAAACTCCTTGGGATATGTAACATGTACTGTCAAATTTCCAACCTGCCCATCTACACAATTTTGCTCGATTCTCATCACCCTTAACTACTCCATCTGGGCTTTGTCCCATTCAGTTTGATTTCTCTGGCAGAATTTTTCTTCGACTAGAATTCGAAAACAATCGATAAACGACATCATCGTTCACAACTTCTTCTGTTTGCTGATTGGCCCCATAGTTTCAACAATGGCAATGGAGGAAGTGAACGAAACCATTCAGTCCGTGTTGGCCATGCCTCTAAATGTTTAATTAGTATTAACAGCCATCTGGTTCTTCTCAGCTCTCCTCTCATCACAGTGGAAGATGGCTGATTATGGCACAGGTCATTTCTGGTGCAAATGTTAGCAACCAAGTAAAATTTATAACTTCAACAGAGCTCCACGCCTCCAGCAAGCAATTGTTTCTCAATAGCCGATGTTCCAGACACTCTGTACGAAGTAAAATGTGAGGGCTGGTGTTTATCAGAAGTTCTTTAATTCCTCACTTCCTGTTATTTTGCATAAGGTTGAAGGTCCAGTAGCTAATACAACTTATTGTCTTGTTTTTATAAAAAGAGAGTAACTTTTCTCTAACTTTTGAAGTTTCTTTCTATGTTGTTGTACCAAACCCATGCTTAACAGACTCCCCGAATCTCAGCAGTTTCCCAATGTCAGCCATGCTCATGTAAATCTAGTCTTGTTTTGATATTTTTATGCTACTTTTGTATTCTCCTGCTGACCAGCAGAATCATTTCACAATTTTCTTTTTTCAAATGAAGGTAAGCTTTTTTCAAATAGTGTTTTTATCCAACCTGACTCCACATTGTGGCAGTAAACTACTTTGATGTTGTGAAGCTATTACCCAAAGCTTCACTTTTCCTACATATGGGCTAGTTGTGGCTATAATTTCCATTCTGAGAATTTTTTAAATTCAGTTTTCTAAAAATACCAGTTGCATAAACATGGTAAGAAGCATGTTTATGTAATGGATGACAGTTTGAAGCAGATGGGAACATTTGGGTTTGTCCAACAATCCACAGCCAGATTAAACATGAGCAGAGGTGGCAGTTTCACCTGAACCTCGGCTCACACCTGGACAGGCTCCTGTGTGACATTAGCAGGCTTTTACTGAACCTTTTATAGTTCAACCAAAATTATACTTTGGATTTTTCAAGAGGTTCTGTGAAGTTGTTCTCGGTAATAATTCCCTTACCTATAGTTGGATTAAACCCCCCATGTTGGCTGTAAAATCAAACTACAAAATTTCATATCAACGATATGTTAGGAGGAGAAAACCTGCGGTAGGTCCATCAATTGTTTCAGCTAACATCCATGTCGTGACGCTAAGCTTAAGCTAGCTAGAGACTACCAACTGATCATGAGTTTGCTAGGAAAAGACCTGGGAAAGCGCAGCCACAGCCCATCTTCAAAGGCATTCCACAATCAACAGTCTGCTGAAAAACACTTAAAACACTTTTGGCGTACTTGGAGTGTATCGACACACCCAGCAGCGTCAACCAACACAGCTTTAGCATAGCATAGTGACAACTTATCATCATTCACCAGTGACGGCTTGGATAGTTTACATCCACATTATTCCAAGGATGTTGTCCTCTTCAGTTGTAGTTGTGTGAAATAACTAAAAAAAAGTAAAAAAAGGAAATCCAAGTGGTCAGTCAAGCTAGCCGTTAGCTTTTTTTTTTCTTTTTTTAACTGCATTTAAATTATACAAGTCATGATAAATGAAGTAGCAAGATTTATTTTGGCTAATTACAGATTTCAAAAAGTCAGACAACAAACCACAATAAAAATCAAAGACGAAAGAAAGTAATCTTTTTGCACCTTCATTTATGAATGAATTTAGTACAGCTACTTAGGTTTAATATTTTATATTAAACCTAAGAAAAATCCTGTCTGCTTTTTTCCCTCAGATAAGATCAATTATTGATGATAAACTTGTAACCAATTAACTATCTCGCAATTTGAAAACATAAAATCTTCACTGCCTATTTTTTTTCACCCACATCAACATTTCTTGTGACTGTTGCTGTTGTTTTATTACTTATTTTTCCAGTGAAAATGACTCATCGGTATTAGGGAAATACACCTAAGCTTTTCATCAGCTGTTGCTTTGAACACATCAAATTATTTCTGACCTGCTACTGTACATTAGAGTGGTTGTTGTCCCGCTATGCTGGTGAAATCTCTTTAATTTCCCGAATCATCTCTATGCATTTTAAACAGATTATAGAACTGCTTTTGTATAATTTAAGTGAAAAGTGTGTCTTTCGTGTTTTCTTTCCTTCCCTTCAATCAACTGTGACTGATTTTTGTTATTCCTGCGGGCAAAAAGAGAGTTTCTGTAGGAGCTAAGATGCTGTTGCATTGAGTGTCCATACCCCTTGTCTCCTGTCACACTGTGCGTCCCCCCACCAGCCTGGACATGTCCCAGTGACATCTGCTGTGTCTCATTATACCCTGAAAGTGATGCACACATCCTCACTGTGTACAACCTTGTGGTGTCTGATATAATCCTGTTTCATGGGAGGAATCGTTCACTGTCGTGTCAGCGGAGTTGGTTGGCCCCATGCTCTTCGTTGCTACACGCATGGCCTTCGGCTTCATATCACTATTCTTGTGCCTTGTTTACCTACTGTAAATGGTGAATGTTGTAAAGTACAGGTGATGGGAAGAACAACAACAACGACGATGAAAAAGAACAAATAATCACGCTGACATACATTTAAAGGTATTAGTTGAAAAAGTATTTAAGATTATAATATTGAATAGGCTGCAGAGCTTTTCTAGTGCTGAACATCTACGTTTGGTAACGCCAGGGCAGCTTTGTGGTACACTGTATCTATAATTACGGACATTTTGGATGTTTTCTGTACAGTAGAATTTGCAAATGTATATGCAGCCTTTTGAAAATAAATGTACAGCTGAAAGATCATCTCGACTCTTATGTAATTTTGGGTCATTTTCCTGTCGTCTCACTCACGTGGTGTGAAATGATATGCAAATCTCAGAATTCAAAGTCAGATGGCATTACCTCTCATGTGGAAAAACAAATGCCTGGGACTGGAAACAACTGCTGATTCTTCTATGTTAATGTTGGGCTTTTGGAGAGTTGGGTTTGACGTGTAAAAACTGGATACGTAGACGTGGTCTGGTGATGCTGTCATCATTTATTGGTTATTTTGTTTCAAAAAAGGAATGTAGCTGAAATTTCAGAACTAGTGTGCAAATACAGACTTCAGCAGCAGCAAACACAAGGTTTCTGCCTCTGACTGTAGCACAGGTCCTGTGTGAAAAAGGAAAAGTTGCTGTTGTTATACACATATTGAACACTAAGAAATTCATTAATGTGTTGCCCTTGTCACTGACCTTTAGAAGGATTTTAATACCATTATTTGTGACATTCTGTACCAAAAAGGTTGTGATATTGGCCTGACTGACTGCTCTCAATTGGTTTATTGATTATCCGTTAAATTGAAAGCAGTGTGTTAAATGTAATGAATCTCTTTTGGATGTGGTTCGTGGTGTACCTCAAGGGTCAGTTTTAGGACTCACACTTTTTACTACTTAAATAAATAATATAAGACACATATGCATCTATCCATACTGATGCCAATGATGGCATTTATATGAACCCCCCTTCAGTCAATACTTTGTGGAACCAGATTTTACTTCAGTCATGTCCAGCTGCGGGTCTGTTGGGTTTCAGAGACTAAATAATTTTCCCGTTCTTTGAAAAACACCTTCAACTCAGTCAGGTTTGAGTCCTGTTTTTATTATGAAGAAGGCCTTCTGTTCTGCAGCTGGATGCATGACTGGTCCCCGAGGTCTGCTGAGATAGAATCATCTGGCTCCAAAGAGCACACTGGAAATGTCAAAGGTCAGTTCACATCCTCGCCATGCTGGACAGAGACACAAACAAAAACTCTGAAAATTAAAGTGACAACTTTCTCACAATTCTACAAGCCAAAAGCAACTGTGCTTTCTATAAATATTTTATTTGTGGTTCTCAAGCCATAAGATGTAAAGTATCAAAGGAAAAAATTATGTCATTTATTTTTGTGTTTTTAACACAAGTAAAATTGGTCCACATATGTGGACCAATATATATATTTCAGAATAAAACAATAGCATCCCATCCATCCATCCATCCATTTTCTGAACACCCTTGTCCCTCAGTGGGGTCGGGAGGGGTGCTGGTGCCTATCTCCAGCTAACGTTCCGGGCGAGAGGCGGGGTACATCCTGGACAGGTCGCCAGTCTGTCGCAGCAATAGCATCCCATGTGAAGCACAAATTCAATTTTCAATTATTATTGTACTCTCAGAAAGAGTTGGCCTATAAACAACAAGTACAAAAGTTAAGCAAAAGTGATAAGTCAACAAGAACTTTTCTTTTTGTTGGCTGTTGTCAGAGAAAATTTTGGTTCTTCCGGTTATTGTTGATATGCAAACGCTTTGACGTACTAAACGCTCACAGACGTGACTCATCACGTTGGAGCGTGATGAGTCACCCAGCAGCGTCAACAAACACAGCTTCAGCATATCATAGTGACATCTTATCATCTTCCTCCAGCAACAAACAAAAAATGCTAAGGTAGCCCTTAGCATTTTTTTTTACCGTTTACAGGCTGAGTTTACGTTCTGAATAAGCAGTGGGTAATGTTGAAAGACAACCCGTGCCGCGCCTTTTTATCAGTTTGATAGAGTGGCCCATTATGAAATATCAGGAATGTGTTATTTCTCTATTCTGTTCTGCCAAACCAGTATCTCTGGTAGAAGAATCCTGGCTTGTTTGACGTCTTCACCAGCAGTTAAATATGTTAACAAACTGAAGAGGAAGAAAATATTAAACCCAATTAGCTGTACTCAAAAAATACAAGAAGAACAAAATACAAAAAGGAAGTGTAAGGATTCGGTTTTTGTGTATGTTTCTAGTTTATTGAGTCTCTGTGTTTTTGCATCTTTCCCTTGAATGTCTCCAGCTGTCCCTTGTTTCCTTTGATTATCTCCCTGTGTATTTAATCCCACCTGTGTCCCCTGCTCCCTGTCTGATCCTTGTTGTGTCTTGTCATTTCGGTGTGTTGCCAGTGTCTGAGCACCTTGCCTCATTGCTCACCTGTGCTGCCTGGATGTTTGTACTCTTCATTACTCAACATTAAAACCATCATTTACTCTTCAACCTGGATCCACTGCCTCTATCCTCGCCACGACCAACAACCAACTCATGACAGGAAGAATGCATGTAAACATGACTGTTGGTGTGAGAATGACACAAGAGTGAAGACGCTGGTGTGGAATTAATTTGCTGGTATGAAGTCATTGAGACTCTAAAGTCTTCATGACTTTGGAGATGAGCGCTTTCATTTAAAAAATAAAAAAAAGCCTGTTCACACATGCTCCTGTGTGAAAGTCAAACAGACCATCCAGTTCATGGAACCTGAAGCTTCAGGAACATATAAGAGGCTGTTTAGGACAAAAACTATGTTTTGTCTCATACACTACTAAAGACTCGTACACAAAATACTAAAATTGCGGGTATACACTACTAAAATATCACAAACACACACAAAGCATACAGACATACTATTCTGAATGATGGGTTGAAAATGAATGTGTGTGTGTGAACTAACACTAGGCTGAATGAATGAATGAATGAATGAGGAAGAGATTTGTATTTTTCTGTGAGAGATGTCACAGAAGAGGTGCAGCTTTGGAACCAACGTCACTGCATATGACATTTACGTCTCTCACAGACCAAAACAAACTTCATTACGGTGTTTTTATTCTTATCTGCCGCAGTGAAGTTTTTTTCAAGTTGGATATTGGATATTCACGCTCTGCAGAACAAGCGGCGTTTAGCTCAAAGTTGATCCGGTTTATGAACGCTAATTTCCGGCTCCCCCTCAAGCACTCGGAGGTTTACTTAGGGACCGTCGGAAACAGACACTCCTGTCAAACAGATGTGAATAAATGCCTTGCCTTCTGACCAACAGACACAAAAAAATTGGTAATTCATGCTACTACACGAGACACACTATCCTCTTTTAAACGTTTACATCATATTCAATATTTTAAATAATTGTAATATTAAATCATGTTTTCACACACCGCTGTGTGTTATTTTAATAATGTATATGCGCAATCTTAGTCTTTTATGTGTGTGTGTGTGTGTGTGTGTGTGTGTGTGTGTGTGTGTGTGTGTGTGAGAGAGAGAGTGAGAAAAATTGTATGGGTGTGACATTTTAATAGTGTATGTGCAATTTTATAATTTTGTGTATGTTTGTGTGTCTTTAGTTTTGTGTGAGACAAAACATAGTTTTTGTCCTAAGGAACACTTAAAAGTCTCACTTAGTATGCTCCATAGGAAAAAAAACAAGTCTACAAATTATTCAAGACAGGTTTCCTTAAAGAAAGAGAATGAGTCATAAACAGTTGGCACCCACGCTGCACTAACTTTGATACTTTCCTTCAAAAGTCCCCTTTGACGCAGGGCCTCCAGTGAAGCACTTCTCATGGAGATCGTTCGGTCGCAGGCACAGAGCCGGTTTAATTAGCAGCTTCAGTTGTAGATTTGTTTAAAATGTTTCAAAAACATTAGAGGAAACGGTCGTGATTTCAGCTAACTCAACA